ATATATATATTTGTCATAGGTCTATAAGATCCATCTGTTCCTCCTACCCTAAGGAATGGCTAATGTCATCGCTTCAGTTTTCATTAGGACGTTTGCTGGTTTTGTAAATATCTGGGCAGCAAAGCTTCCCTTTTAATATCCAGTAAGTATAAACACTAGCTGTCTAGCACACCAACAAAAACGCTCATTTTTTTTTTCTTCAGAAGTACACTTTTTCATTATTGCAAGTTTACAATTTTAAATTAAATATTTTTTTTTCAGACTTACAAATTAATTATATTTTTTTTCTTTTTTTTTTTCCAAAAAGAAGTTTAGGCACAAATGCATTGTCCCACAGTGTGGAGAAGATTGCCATTCAGTCTCTAGGCTGCGCACTGACAGCTCGGAACATACTGTGTTAGACATTCTGCGTGATATGTGAAAGAGAGTCGTCCCTCAAGTTGCACTTTTTGTTTGTGGTATTTTTTTTTGTTGTTGTTGTTTGTTTTTTTCTTTCTTTCTCGGTTTTAATAATCGGGAATGCTGAAATCTCTTGCGTCTGTGATTCTTAACTACTCAGACTTGTCTTATATTACAAAAAAAAGGGGTTAAGGAGAAGTGTTTATGTGTGTTTAAGATAATACAGCTGTTAAGGAAGTGGTCTCTTGCTTAAATGAAGAAATGTGGCAACTTGGACCTGCAGAAGAAGTAAAAAATCTCGTCAGTCAAGGTGAGCTGAGCGTGCATCCCTATCCCCTCCTCCAGCAACCCTGCATCCCAAAAATCCATTTATAGGGGTGGGTCGGCACATCCACCCCACGGTGTGCCCTGGGATGGGGGGAACCCCTCGGGGTGCAGGGCAGAAGGCTCCCAGGGCAGGGCTGAGAGCAAACTTGCCTTTTTTTTTTTTACATCTGTCCCATGTGGTTGGAGCCATCTCCCATCCCAGGGTGGGGTCCTGCCAGGGAAAGCGGAGGAGGATCCGAAGAGACTTTTTCTTCTTCCCTTCTTTTCAGACACGCTGCTTTCGGGTTCAGGTTTCTTTCTGTTGGTTTGAAGCAAAAAAAAGGCAATTTCAAATACTCACATTTTTATACCAGATCAGTTCATCAGATGGGCACTTAAAATAATGATTAATCATCAGTTCCTTGCTTCAGGAATTCTGTGGGATGAAGCGGAGGATGCAGCTCGCTCAGCTTGAGCCCTGAGACACAGCATCGCTCCAGAGACACGCTCTACAAACACCTCCCTGCTCGTGCTCTGTGAAGGAGCAGCCAAGCTTAATATTGAATTTGGATTTTGCTAAAAAACGTAAAAATGTTCCTGAGGCCGTCGAGGGCATCCGCCAGCATCCCCACTGCTGGAGTCGTGGGGCAACACGAGCATCCCTGGGCTGGCTCTGGATACCAAGGGTTGGGATGGAGCCCAGGAGGGATGGATGGAGCCTAGGAGGGACGGATGGAGCCCAGGAGGGATGGATGGAGTCCTGGAGGGATGGAAGGAGCCTGGGAGGGATGGAAGGAACCCGGGAGGGATGGAAGGAGCCTGGGAGGGATGGAAGGAACCCGGGAGGGATGGATGGAGCCTGGGAGGGATGAAAGGAGCCCCGTTGGCACACTGACCTCTGACTTGCTGCTCTAAGCTGAGGATGACGGCCACAGCCTGGTGTAAGATCAGGAGCTTGGTCTGGGGCTTGTCGCTCTTCAGGTGGAGCTGCACCATCCGGCCCAACTCCTTGAAAGCCTCGTTGATGTCGCGGACGCGCAGGCGCTCCCGGGCATTGTTGGCCATTCTCCTTTCTTTTTCCCTCTCGGCTTTCTGCTCGGGTGTCAGGTCTTCGTCGTCGTTATTGCTGGGAAACAAAAGGAAAACGTCATTTTCTAATGATGTGGGAAACAAGCGGTGCAAAGATTGGCAACTGGCTTTATCCAAAACAAAGGCTACAAGTCATGAACAGACACCTTCTGAGTGATTCTTATCTGGTGTTATTCTTATTTTTGCTGTTACTCTTTATTTTTTTGCTGTCACCCTTATTTGTTGTTATTCTTATTTGCCACCAAACCTGTGCAAAATTCAGTCCCCTGAAATTTTATACTGAGTGTAAAATTTGGTTTGTAACGAAGCTTCACAATCTGCAGGGCAGAACTTCTGATATTTAAAAGCAATAAAAACACAGATTTGGGTTTTTTTTTTTTTTCAGCAACACATTTTATCACAGACAACACCACAACATTTTAAATCATGGCAAATCACTACCAGTCACCTCCAGCCCCCAAGGACAGGCTGGTGGCTCCTTTCTCTGCTCCCACTTTCCATCTTTGGGTTCACCCCAGGAGCTAGGAGCTTGTCCCCAACCAGTGAGGGGACCTGTCCCCCAACACCAGGGCTGGCACCCAGGTCTTATGGGCTTCCAAGCCTGAAAGAGAGCCAAGCATTTATTTACATGCTTCCCTTTCAGCAGAGCATCAACTGGGTTTTGGAAGAAACTTTCTCCACTCCTGAAGGGGAGGACCTGCCATGTATGGGCCATGGGGCACCGGAACGCCCACGGGCAAAGAGCCCCGGGAGTAATTGATGGCTGTGAACTTCTGCATCCTTTCTGCAACAAAACTGCTTTCTACCCAGAGAAAAATGATGATTTTAAATTGAAATGCATCCACCGGTGAGTCACCGGCACTCTGTAATTTGAATTGGTTATGCAAATGGAGAAATACATTTCCAGCAGCCCTAAACAAGGCAGATTTAGGCATATAACCACACATCAGGAGTAACCTTTTAAAGCTGCAAGCACGTTAAAAGCAAAAAATGTTAGCCTACAAAAGCTTCAAAGCACACATAAATATGCATAAGCGGCAGCGTATTTGTTGAATTAACAAGAACCGCGATCACCTCACATCAGCACCAAGGTGCTTTCTTCCTTCCGTATCATAACTGCACATGAAAGCCTCACTCTACCTACGGTTACTTCAGCACATTTATTTAGAGAAAATCCTCACTGTCATGTATTTTCTCCGGTCGTAAGAGACGTGAACGTAATTAATGTTTGAGGTCCAAGTCTCAGCAGCACAGTGGCTCAGATGCTCCTCACCTCAGCTCGGATTTTAGACAGAGACCCAGGCGGGGAAGGAGAAAAGGCAGAAGGATGCTGCCATTCGGTCTTTAATAAAATCCCCTGCACCAAGCGGGGCTGTGCCTGGGTTTCAGCTTTATTGGGATTTTTGCTGCATTGCTTGGGATTCAGCTGATGCCACCCAAAACCCAGCTACAATTTCACTAATACTTCCCAAAAATGTATAAAGAATATGCCAAACAAGAGAAGCAAAGACCTTTAAACCCTCTGCTTAAACCTAGGGAGCCCTGGTGATGTACAGAGATTGAGAAATGGGGATTAAATTGAGAAATTTGGGAATGACGAATGTATTTCAGAGGTAAAAGACAAGCACACAGTTTGTTAATTCGGACGCAGGTGTGACCAGCTCTTAGGCACATTTTTGGAAGAGGTGACAATCCATACTGTATTCCCATTTGCAAGCACAGGCAGTGAGGAATCACAGCCCAATTCATCCATTTTAGCATTAACGCAATTTCTGTATATTGTGGAGAACTTGCTCAGTGTCCAATTGTCCCAATTTGAGGACATCCTGGAGTACGGGTACCAGCAAGGCGCTGGATACTGCCAGAACAGCCACAACACTCCACCTAGGCTGGGGTTTTACCTGCCAGGAAAAAAACCTCACGGTTTCCTCCTGTTCTGTTCACTTCATCGAAATCCAGTAAAGGAATTAAATGAAGCGACACTATTATATACTGTTACCTAGATCTTGACCTAGTAATTGATTTGATATCCTTCTTGTCATCCTCTAGTTTCTTGTCCTCAGAAGACTTGGTGTCCTGGAGGTTTTCGTCTCCCTCGTCGTCGGATTTGATTTCGGAGCTGCCTGAAGAGACACTCTGCCCTTGCAGTCCGGTCGGCATGCCTGTGAGAAAACACATGCTCTTGGGCTGTGTCCCCTGTCCCCAAGCCAAGGGGGACCATTAGACCCCATGCAGAGCCAGGAGTGGGGGTGGTAGCTCCTGGAAATGGGGTTCAGTTGGGGCTTTGGGGGCTATAGCTCTGCCTTTGGGAGCAGAGGAGGGTTCAGTCTACAAACCATCAGCTCAGTGGCTCTGGAGCAGCCCAGAACCCCAGGGAGCTGGTGTATGCACCCGCCTGGACCCTGAGCATCCTTCTGCAAGCACAGACTTGGGGAGAGACTGAGACTTTGAACTCCTTGAGCAAATTTGATTCTTACGTCTGAAGGAGTTCTGCACACTCACTGGCTGTTAGTAGACAATGTTACTATTTTACAAAACGGATAGAGAGCTTGTGGTCTTCGAGGCTTTGACCTTTTCTATGATCTTGCCCAGGCCCATGGAAAGGGGGCACAGGATGCCAAGCTGCTACTCCTGCTCTTCAATCCCTACAGAACTTTGCCTTCAACTTAAAAAAAACCTTCAGTGTCCCATTCTTGAAATAATCAAAATACTTGGCTGCAATGAATGAGCAGGACTTTGTAAGGCATCGTGATAGTTTAGGCTCTTTCTGACACACTTTAATGGCAAGATGGGCTGCCACCAGGAATAAGGACAAAGCCCGATGTCCTCCGGGTTTGGTTAGCTCCAGGGCTGCTCTGCAACAACCCTGCAGAGGTCTGGGCTGTGCCCTGCGCTATCTTTCGGCCGCCCCCATCCCCAGGACCAGCCACGCAGACCCCTCATCCCTCCAGCCCAGGTCACCACCGTCCTGGCCGCGTGTTTGGGGACACTGTGTCACGGGATGTCCCCGGCAGGAGGTACTCACCCCTGTAGGGGTCCTGGGGCGGGTTCAGATCCGGGGAGGTGGCGGACTGGACGGGCAGCTGCGGGACGGGGACCTGGTTTGGCACGAGCGAGTGGCTCCCGCGGAGGCTGACCCCGTCCTCGCGGTGTGCTCCAACCTGCCGGGGAGGAGAGAGACGCAGGTGAGGCTGTGCAGGACTGGACAGCCACAGAGCCCCCCGTCCTGGGGACCCCCAGAGAGGGACGGGGACGGTAAGCCACCGCGTTGGGTGGCGTTTCACTAGAGGGCGCAGACGGCACGTACAGCCGCACCGCGCACACCGTGCACACCGGGTACACTGGTGACATCGTACACCCTGCACACCGTGCACATGGTGCACACCAGGTACATCGTACACCGTGCACACTGTCGACACTGTGCACATTGTACACATTGTATACACCGTGTGCATCATAAACCATGCACCCCGTGCACAGCCTAGTATACCACACACACTCTGCACATCGCCCGGAAGGATGCTGCACCACATGCCTCGTGACAAAACACGTCCAAGCACAGCTCAGGCAGGTAAAACGTCAAATTGTCTCCCAGGGTGCTGCAGCCGAGCGCGCCGATTCCTCCCCATCTGTCTTCTATCATGTCCGCCAACAGATCTGACAATTATCTTAATGCCCATATGCTTAATTGTGGGCTTCTCAATTCCCCCATTGCTATCGGAAATCCTGCAGGAATTTCAATTTGGCATCCAGCTTTCATTTCGGGGGATCGGCTCTGCAGCCCTGCCATTTTTCTCCCCGTAATGCCAGCTCAGCCTCTGACAGCAGGAGCTGCAGAGGCTCCCCCCAACCATCCCAACGTGTCACCCGCCTTTCCAACTTGAGAAGCGCCATCCAAGTGAGCGCTCGCTGTATTTCATTAACCACCCAGTCCCAAACCCAACAGGGCACCATCCCTGCCAACACTGTGACTCCAGGTAATGCACTGATCAAGGTTTTATTAAACACTCCGGTGATGCCATCATCATCATCGTTCAGTAAAGGATGGACATCCAAAGGGACAGATGGACAACACAGCGTTCTCCTCCTCCAGTGCAGGCATCCCCTAACACTCGAGGGAGAGGGGGGATAAACACGGCGGTAAATCACTCTTTATTCTCAAAAAAGTCAGTACTGGGGCAGATAAGAAGATGGAGGGATGTTTCTAATCAGACATACAAGATAATATGGGATAATTGTTAACAGCAAGTCGAGACCGCAGCAAGAAAGATAAAAGGGAATCCTGCCAAGGGGAACTTGAGAAAATCTTTGACTGCTAGACGAAATGCAAATAACCGAAAGCAAGTGTAAAATAGCAGAGACAAAAAAACTCTCCTTTCTGAGATATTTTAAGTTTTAAAACATGTGATACTAAGGAAAGACTGGGACCAGCGTTATGGGGTTTTAAGAGAGAACGAATTGTTACAGGGTGCTTGGAGCAGTCCTGATTCCTGAAACCTCAGCAGGGAAAATGCAGTGACATCCCAATGACATCCTTTTGAAGAGGAAAAGTAATTTTTCCTCACACCTATGAAAGAAAAGGTCTAGCGTCTGTCCTTCTCCATACCTAGCTGGAAGTGACCTGGGGCCACCCAACCTTGCCTGGAGCTCGATCTGACCCCAAAGCTGTCCCCCCTTGAGCAGGGATTTCACCCCCGCCATCTCTACCAGTCCCCTCCCCTCTACATTTTTCTGCAATTCTATGGAATACCAAAACCATTTAGTTTTGAGATTGACAAAGACAAAGAAGCAGATGACGCCACTTCTGGTTGGCAACCAACCACCACCCTTCGAGCAGCGCTCCCAAGAGCCGCTGTGAGCTGGGAAGGAGCTTTGACAGATCCCACATCGTGCTCTGGGTCCCTTCCTTCTCCTGTAAGCCCCCCGGGGCTCTGTCCATGGCTTGTGCAGACAGACAGAGACAGGAGCATCCCTGGACCAGCCCACCTCCTGCCCCAGACCTCCTCTATCACGGGGCTGCAGGAGATGCGTCCAGTTGGGTGGTCCAGCTGGAAGAGGGACAACGTGGCTACCTTGGCTATTTGTCTAAATCATCGAAAGCTAATGATTTGGAGGATTTTTTAAACTGAAGTCTTGGATTCAGATGCAAAAAAAAAAAAAAAAAAAAAGATGCCATGAAGTCACCACCACTTTATTGCTGGCATACTGATACAAAGTTCCATTTACATTGTTAAAATTGGTTCCAATAAACAACATTTCCTCATGTTCCTTCTCCTTGAGGTTCTCAAGAGATCTGGAAGGTAACCACCTCTGTCATGTCTCACAACTGAATGATAAAACAGACCAATCCTTTTCTTCTCTTTTACAACCCACTACGTTGCTTCTTGAGATTTGCAGCTTTTTCTCCTGCCAATTGCCAAATTCCAGGCTTGCTGAGTGAGCAAGCCCAACCTATGGTCATCCCTACATGAAAGAAAGACCACTGCTTATCCAGTGTGACTGCCTTGGAGCCCATTCCTCCCTCTCTCTGGGGATACTCCCAAACACCGACACTTCTGAACACTATGACTACACAAACCATCACCTCCCAACAGCTTTTCCACATCATGTTTTCCTGAATAATTTATCTCTCCAGTTTCAACCGCTTGCAAGAAGATGCAGGCAGCTCCATCACTTTGTTATCCACACAGAGGGAATTATCCGAGACACAGAAAGACTCCAGTTCTATAGTAAAACAAAACTAACCCACACCAAACTGTCCCACGAGCAGAAAAGCTGGTTTCTGGCAGCGCTGTGCTTTCCACCACACTGCTGCATCTCCCCCACCCATGGGATGCTCCGTCCCACATGGGTACCCACATGACCGCTTTCACACTCCAGACCTCAGATGTCCCCTAAACCAGGCTGGACATTTATTTTTCTCCTTTTAAACACCATCAGCTGCTTTCAGCAGGAAATCCCAGGACCTCCAAGACCATGGTGCCAAATGCAGCTGAAACCCACCGTCTGCCAGGGGATTCAGGGATGCGACCTGCTGAAATAAAGCCCGTCCCTGGAGGGGTTCAAGGCCAGGCTGGATGAGGCTTTGAGCAACCTGGGCTGGTGGGAGGTGACCCTGCCCATGGCAGGGGGTGGGACTGGATGGGCTTTAGGGTCCCTTCCAACCCAAACCATTCTGGGATTCTATACAAGGCGTTGGGGACCAAAAGCATCAATGCCTGTGAGTCCAGGGCGTGGGTAGCTCCCAGCACTGCCAGGGACATAAAAGACGCTGCATATTGTGCTTCCCCCTCCCTGCGCAGCCAGCAGCGCCGCCGGTTTGTCTGTTGTACAAACAAGAGCTCTTCCTTGAGGTGGAGAGCAGACAGGAATCGTTCTCCCCCGCCCCGGGAGCGTAGATTATAAATACTACTTATCTTTGGAGAATCAAACTCACTTTGAAGTTCTATTAATATTTTATTTATTTCCATCTCTCTAAACAGCTCCCCACTGCAGCACTCCGCAGATCAGAGTGGGGAAAAAAAAACCAAAAACAACAAAGAACAAATCCTAAAATGTGCATGGGAGGTATGAGCAAGCTCTGCTGTTGTGCAAATCTCTGCCTCAACTTTCCCTCTGTAATCACCATCCAGGCACACAGGTACCTACTCACATGTGAGCTACGGTCTGCTTGAGATGGTTCAGCCAAAGGGTAAAGCCATGAAAAGCCCCATTCCTCTGGGTTTTTTTGGCTATTAAGGTCTCTTTGGAGGCACACATGGACTAGGCATGAAAAACTGGACAGACGATGCCTGAATTCAAACTTGCATTAGTTTTTTTAAAGTAGAAAAACTCAAGAAACCTCAAAAGCTGGAAGAAGGCCAGACCTCATCTTCTCTTACCTTTGCAGTTTCATTTTTATATATGGTAATAGGGGCTGAGTACGTCCGTCAGGTTTTTCTGGTTAAGCTGGTCTGTCCGTATCCCAGACTAGCTGCACTATCTCTACACTCATCATGAATGGGATGCTGCTTCAAAAAAATACCTGGAAATTAATTCTTGAACACTCAGCATTTCATGATGGGGGTGCATAACTGTAATTAACCCAGATAAAGAACATGATGCTGGGATGCTGGAAAAGAATTCACAGTTTCACCTTTGCTCCATGATGTGGATTTTTTGAGAAAAAGTAACTAGTCTGCTAAGATGCTTGTTCCATCAGTGTCAAGAGGTACTGCACTGAATTTGTCAGCTATTGGCAGTCTAGGAGGAACAGGGGTCTGGGAGGGACCACGGGTCCAGGAGGAAAGGGATCCAGGAAGAAAGGGATCCAGGAGGAATGGGGGTCCAAGAGGAATGGCATCCAGGAGGAACAGGGGTCCAGGACGAATGGGGGTCCAGGAGGAATGGGATCCAGGAGGAACAGGGTTCCAAAAAGAAAGGGGTCCAGGAGGAAGGGGGGTCCAGGTGCAAAGAGATCCAGGAGGAAAAGGGTCCAGGAGGAAAGGGATCGAGGAGGAAGGGGGTCCAGGAGGAAAGGGATCCAGGAGGAACAGGGTCAAGGAGGAAGGGGGTCCACGAGAAAAGGGACCCAGGAGGAAAAGGGTCCAGGAGGAAAGGGATCCAGGAAGAATGGAGTCCACGAGGAAAGGGACCCAGGAGGAATGGGGTCCAGGAAGACAGGGACCCAGGAGGAAGGGGGACCCAGGAAGAATGGGGATCCAGAAGGGAAGAGATTCAGGAGGGAAGAGATCCAAGAGGAACCAGGATACCAAGAGGAATGGGATCCAGGAGGAACAGGAGGTCCAGGCCACCAGCTGGCACTCCGCATCACCCACCTGTGTGCTGCAGCACCCACAGGCTCACCCACCACTATGGACAGCCCGGGAAGGTGCTCAGTTTTCAGAAAACATCAAGAGAAACCTGTCTGTGTTTCAGACCCCTACTGACATGGAAAACTGTCCTGGTGCCTCTGGAATGCATGTTCCCCGTGAAATCCCAACTGCACCAGACAGCACTGCGCTTCGTTTTTCATCACCTCCGATTCTATGCCACACATACGATGGAACCGTTATCCTCCAGAGCACGGAAACCTCCTGCCTGACCCAGCAGTGAATTCCAAGCAGTTCTAAGAACAAAGGAAAAACTACCACCCATAGGCTGGATCACAGCTTTGGGCTAC